CAGTGGGTGGTCTACATTTCATAGTAGGAACACCACAAGTTAAAAACACAGGATGTGGCAAAGATACCCCACTTGCAAGGCTGGGGGCGGGGAGAGGAGGGATTTGCAGATGGACAAAACAAAAGTGCACATAAAGGCCAAAAAAACAAAAGGAACTACAAAACAAGGAAACTTCAGTAGATAGGAAGAGAAACCACAGACCTGTATAGAGAAATCTGTTAAGGCAGCAATGCAGCAAGATTACTGATGCAGTGTGGTAACCTTCCACCTTCCACTGCAGCTGTGGTTGGGTGGGGAGTTAAGTTACATTTTTTTAAAAAAGCAGGATTTGTGGGTTTGGATTTAAACACCTTGCTTTGATCTTGACAATTAGAGTTAACTGTCTGGTAATCCATCAATCAAAACCAGCTGCGCACTGTAGACTCCTCTCACCAATGTTACATGTGCCACTTCAAGCCACTTTGGAGCCTCTCTCCTGCTATACGTGTGAGAGGCAGAAAAGTCATTTTAAATGTGCTTTCCATCCATGTATTTAAAAAAACTGATATCCATGGAAGGAAATACACATTTCTAAACTTATATCAACCTTCCTTGGGTTTTTTTGGGGGGGCAGACAGAATAGAAGTGCCAGTCTCCAAGTGGCAACATCCACCAAGCCAGCAGAAGGATCAGGCTCTTCCTTAAGTAGAGATGTGTATGAATGATGAAAGAAGTGAGGTAATTTGTTTCTGGGGTGCATTGTTTTTTTTAAAAAGATCTATTCGCTACATGTGTTAAGGCGCATACACACATGAAAAGGGACACTCTCAAGATGCTGCACACTCTGTCCAAATGCCTTATAAAGTAAATGATCTCAGGAGAATACACCCATTCCTGAAACTGCCCTTGGAAGCATTTCAGATCTCAGCCCAGGCCTCCATTCCCTCACTTCATCTTTCTCCTCAATCACCCATCTCTCTGGAAAAGAAAAAGGATTCAGGTGGAAAGTGGAGCTCTTCCGCAGCACTGAGGATCAATAAGGTGCTGGCAGAAAGAAAAGGAAGATGTTTTCATGTGTACAGCCTGGGCTGCCATTTCCCCTCCCTCCCACTACATGCTGGTTAAATGGCTTCTTCACGTTGGCTCCTCAGTTCATGTCTGGTCAATTAGTCCCTAATAAAGCTGTCATGCTCCCTTGACACAAAGTAACCCTGCTTCCAGTTTGGGTCGAATTTCATTCTTCTCTAGATTCAAATCCCAGAAGAACTATAGACAACCTTGCCTACTAAGTTTGAGTCCAGTTGCACCTTTAAGATCAACCAAGTTTTAGAAGCTTTCGTGTATCTCAAGAAGTGTGCTTATACCTTGAATAAAACTTTGTCAGTCTTAAATGTGCCACTGGACTCAAACTTTGTTCTGCTTCTTCAGACCAACACGGCTATCCACTTGAATCAACCTTGCCTACCATTAACCACCTTGAGACAGCCCATAGAAACGTACTCCCTAAAAAGTTCCTTCATCTCCCTGCTCAGCAATACATCTCCCCAGTCCAAGCGGAAGATGTAGTGAAACAGCAGGGAAGCTTTGGGGCAATGCTGCTGCACAGACTGCTGGCAGAAGCCACAAAACCTCGTCTGGCCAAATAGCCTTTATTTGCTAGCTGCTAACAGACATAACCACACTGAAACTATCTCTGTTGCATGCCCAACCAGCCCTCTTGTGTAATTTTACTCAGCCCCCTTGCTTCACACCCCCTCAATCGTCCATAGGAAAAAAATCAGTCCATCAGCTAGGCACAGTAGAGTCTACCCAACATGTGACCAAAATTAAAGGGCTTGCCTTAACTATGAAGCTGCTGCTTCATGAAGAAGAGTCTGTGTAAGGCCATATTTGTAGCACTAGGAACATGACGTATACAAAAAAAAATTAATAATAAAAAACTAGCATAGTTGAGATTGAGAAGGCCTCTGCAGTGCCACCTTGGCAGCCCTCTGATGACTAAGTTGAAGCTGCCAAGGGGTCTCAAAGTTGTCTTCCACTAGTGGGAGGTAGGCAATTTCCCCTCCGCCACTGCAAACATCTGCATCTCCCTCCATACTGTTCCAAGAGTGCTCCAAACCCAGTAGCAGCATTTCTAGGAGAACAGTGGGCTGCAGCAGGAAGAAAGGTCTGTTCTGCAAGCAGAGCCTTTGGAGCCTTTGGATCCAACTCATTGTACATGAAGTGGTTTGAACAAATGCACTGGCAGATTCAGAACTAGTACCTCCATAAGCCCTTTGCATCTTCTACTCCTGAAGCCACCAAGGAACAAGTGGGGCCTGGGGAAAGATCCAGAAACTGAGCTCTGAAAAGCACCAGGACCAGTTACAGTCCATCTTTTCTGCGCAGTTAAAGGCTGTCTACTGGTTGTTGTTTGGCTGTTTAAAGGGGGTGGGGAGGGAGAAGAGCAAATTGCTATCCAGATTAATACATGTACTTTTTTTTTAGATTTAGATTAATACATGTACTTCTTTTTTTAGGGGATTTTTAAATTGCATTTTCTATAAACTACAAACTACAATGAAAAAAGGGAAAGGGTTGTCTACATCTATGGAGAAAGGAAAGAAAACCACTAATAACTAAAACCCCAAGTATAGGAGATCATTACATCAGTTTATATAAGTGTTATATCTAAGATGCTAGTATTACATTGAACGTAGTCGGTTATGCTAAGTTATTTATCTTTTTAACCATTTTTATCTGTTTAAAGACAACCCCAAGAGCATCATTTACAGTATATGCTTTAAGGCACCATTCAGAGTTCTTCAGCCTTCACTTTGCTTTATCTTTTCTAATCCTCAATTGGTATTCTCGTTTTGGGGTCACCGCCCCCTTTTCTAAGGCAGAGTCCTCGTCGGAAGACCCAGAGTCCATTTCATCACTAAGTCTGCTGTCATCTTCTTCCCTGGCATCCTCTTCTGGTTCACCCAGTTGCAGTCTCATAAACTCACGCGCTTTGGAAACAGAGTCAATCTTTTCTTTTTAACCTGTAGTTTGAAAATGACGTCTTCCGGGGTCAACCATCTGCATGGAATGCTGTTTGTTTGTAGAAAGAAGTTCTTGTACTTCTTTCTTTTCTTCCTTATTTCAAATGGAATATCTTTTAAAATCCTGATAGTATTGCCTCCGATTTTCAGTGGTGTTCCTGAAGTCGCTTTCAAAATTAAATCCCTTATGTGTCTCTTTGAGAATTTCACCACTATCTTTCCAGGCAGATTATTATTTTTTTTTTTTTGTAAATGGAATAGGCCCTGTAGACCACATCCATTTCCTTATAAGATGTTCTGCTTTTAAATCTGTGACTGGAGCTAATGCATCGCTCAAAAGTTGTTTTAGATTCTCATCTTTAGATTCAGGAACCCCTTGGAACCGGAGGACCAGGTTAGCTTTCTCCATTTGCAATTGTAAAAGTTGAAATTCATCCGAAGCTTGCTTCTTTTCCAGCATTTGCACCTTTTTCTTAACATTTTTAGAGTTGGCATCCATTTCCTTTACTTTCTCAGCTGTTTGCTCTGTCTTTTTTGTAGTTTCAGACAGTTGGAGCTGCTGAGTTGCAAAGTTCTGATTTAAAGTTGTCAGCTGTTGATTGATGTTAGTCATCTGATCCAGTAGAGGGTGCAAAGAGTCCGCCAAAAGCTTAGAGAACTCAGTGGTCTCTTCCCCGGTGGTTTCACTTTTGCTTGTTTTTCTCTCTCCATTTTTTCCCACGCCATTTTTATGGAGTGTTTACTTTTGTATAAACTTGCTAAAGTCTCTGAAATTCGCCCAAATGCTTATCCGTGCTCTGGTAAGTTTCTTAAAACAGATTTCAGCACTTTAACTTCCGCTCCCCCCCCCTGTTAGCTTGCTTTTAAGTTTATGCATCTGGGAGGGGCGCCTCCCCCGCTCGCTTTTCTCGCCATTCCCAGGGGAGGGCTTTCTTCTTAAATTACCGGCATTTCACTTTTACTCGACTCACAGTTCGTTGTTGGTCATAAGACCTCGCTTAGAGTCCATTTAAAATGCTCGATCTCCGATGCTTGTCCCAGTCAGCGGCTCTAGTTCCATTCGGACGCATAGCAGCAGGACCGTTGGGGCAGGAGAGCGCCTAAATTCCCCAGCAATACGCTGGTGAAGAGGCCACCCTCCAAAAGCCCCATGGCTAGGAGCCTTTCGCAAAGGCTCTGGGGGGTGTCGGAGAACAATTGCCCCCCCTCCTAACCGCTAGCACGCAGATCGCACCCCCGGAAGGTGTGTCTGCCAGCGTGTCACCATAAACCGGAAGTCCAGATTAATACATGTACTTCTAACAGACTGCCTGGTTGCTACCATCTGCAACAGAGGATTTTTAAATGATGCCCTCACTTAAAATAAAATTAACAAAACTATAGCTGCTGTTTCATGTGTGTGTGTGTAAGACTTCCTTTTGAATTTTTTTGCTTGCCCAGTTCAGCAGCTGCAGTATCTCCCAGTCCCATTGTTTCAGAGTTGCTGTTTCCGAGCCCTGTGCCTATCTCTGCTCCTTGACAATTTGGAGCTGGAAAATCAGCAGACAGGGAACAAGTACATCAGAAGACAAGACACAACTTTCATGAATGAGGGTGAGGAACTCTACAACTGCTAGAACCAGAAAAGCAGAAGGGTTACAAGAGCAGAAACCTTAAGACATGCACATAACTCTGAAACAGAGGCTTCAGAGGCAGGGGCAGGGTTTCAAAGTGTCTTTTTCCTCAACCTCTAACAGTGTGCATGTCCTGGAGCAGAAAACAGAAAAGAAATCCCACAGTGCATGTCACACAATTTAAAACTGCACACTATGCTAGAAGGATACCTGTAGGGTATGAGGAGATTACATCACAGTCTAGTCACAAAGCAGTATGGGCCAGCTTCCAAGGTAGGCAAGAGAAGGGTGACTTTTCCTGAAGGAAAATGTAGTTATGGAGAAGATTCCAGAGTTATAATTACAGCACTTTCAAACACACATGTGATGTTAGTGGCTTTTCTTACCTGTTTTCTACAAGGAAGTCTACCACGTATTTCTTCAAGCAATACAGATGCGCATCCATCAGTCCTGTCCTGATGTGCATTCTGGAATGCCTAGAAGGGGAATAAAAGAGTGAAGTCACTCAGCTCTACATTTCATAACCATTTTAATAGCTCCACTTTAAAATCACTGGATGGTAAAACTTTATAAGAGACATCTGTGTTCCTAAGTCTCTACTAATGGAAATAGTAGAGAGGTGAATTGTGATGGTTTCCACAACTACAGTGTGCCAACATACACACACCTACTGACCGAGTTTTCTGTTGATCCCATTCCATATAGAGTACATTTACCTATTACCATGGGTCTCCTTCAGGAAGCTTTTATACATGCCCTGTAAGTGTGTATCTCTGTAAGTGCAGAGACCTTGTTTACTTCAGTTTAATTAATGTCTCAAAAAAGTTAATCAGCACTCAGTTTCTGCCAAGTGTGACTCCTAAATAGGAATACAGGACACAGTGTAGCAATGTACAGAGACATATTTCAAGAACAATACTTACAGGCAAGTTATCTTTTTACTTATTGTCATTTTAATCTACGAGGGCAAGCAAAAGTGGATAGATTCTGTATAGTAGAATGAACCCTATGAACTGCAGCCTGCCAAAAACACTGTGAGAAACATGGGTTGGTGTACCCTGCATACTATGCAGAGGAAACAAAAAGCTGTTATCCCTTCTCAAGCGTGCTAATCATCTCTGCAAGCAAACCCAGAAACAGTAAGCTAGTTGTAGCAGGAGATTTAAAGCCTCATTAAAAGGAGAAGGAGTAGCTGTAGGTCACTTGTGAAAATTCCAAAAAAGTTCCAAACTAGCTTACCAAATGGAGTTCTAAAATATACCCCACCCACGCTTTGCTTTTTCCTTCCACCTTCCAACCACTAACTCTTGCACGGTTTATGTGCTCCTTCACTTCCTATTGAGCATGGATAAATACTCAGAAATAGATTAGTCAACATTCATACTGAATCCCCCCTGCTCCTTGATGCCTTTAATTTAACCCATCTGATTGCTAAAAATAACAGTACTCAGTAGAGTCCAGAAATCTTCAGAAATGATCAAATTCTGGTGCCTTACTGTCTGTTTTTCACAGCTGCATGAGGCAAGGGGGGCAGCAAGAGTACAGATAAGGAAACAAGAGATTTATCAGATAAACTTCTTGGGGGTATATTCTAATCTGAAAAGTTAGTATATGTTCCCAAAGAAGATTGCTCCCATAGTCATTTCCATTTTCTGCCAATCACTGTCCTGAGAGCTTTCTTGACTGTATAACATGCATGCTGGAAACAGCACACCAGACCATGTTGCGTGACACTCAGGGCCAGATCTGTGCCCAAGTAACCAAGGCACTAGCAACACCACTAGGGCCAGCAGTGCAGGAGAATGGGTTGTGTCTGCCAGAGCTGCACAGCCCCCAACCAAGTCCAAAGTGGATCCCTGAGATGCTGGTAGCACCGATGGGACTTGGCTTTTTCAAAAAGAAAAAGAAAAGCTCATCCTGATACACACACACACACACACACACACCACACACACACACACACAGCAGAAAGGAGTGACTGGTAATTTATCCTTTGAAAATCTTACAGAAGTCAGTACAATGTACCTAATCAGCATAAAACTTTTTAAACATTTTAAAACAGCTTAAAACAGTCATAACATTTGAACATTTAAAGTGCTCACAGTATTAATAATTCCTTAAATTAGATGGCGTGCTCTAAAATATATCATCCGAGTTCTCAATCCAGTGGTCTTCCGGTCTCCCAAGTAGATATAGGCCTAACTCCGTGTTAGGGCCAGTCCTGTACTACAGATGTTCTAGTAGTACAGTTGGTGGTCATGGTGGCGGCTCCTAGGGAGAAATCCACACTGCACAGAAGCAAACTGAGGGCACAAAACCTAGAGGTAAAGTAGTGTTTGCCTGTAATTTGAGGTGTTGTCCCAAGGTAGCAAAAGCATTAAGTGAAAAAGATGACAAAATAGTTTCTATATAGTTTATTGACACTGTTAGCTATGGAGCTATGCCTCCTCTCCTCCACTTTATTTTAAAATGCAAACCTTTGAAATACATTGCATAGTACTGTTACTAAATCTGCCTTAATGGAAAGGAAATCATTGAGTGTTCTGCCCAGCCTAGACATTACCCCCGTTCTTTTGTATATAAATTATAAACAGTATTCTTTATATATGTATGGTCACAATGTGTTCCAGGTTTATTCCCCATTTTCCTTTATTACCTACACAGTCTTCTCCCTGCATACAATTGAGAACAGGATTAATGTCTTACTGCCAAAAGAATATAATCTTCTTGAAGAACCTTAAAAATCCTCTGGGACATATGTTTCTCCCTGAACAAAGGGAACCACTGTGTAATGTTCTTCTCTGTAGACCTTTTAGCAGTTAAGACACTGGTTGAGAAAACTCCCCACCCCCAATCATTTTGTTGAAAATTGCATCTGAAGTTAGCCATGCTGTTCAAAGGAAAGGCTGGGTGGAAAGCAGTGTGTGGCCAAGGAGCGAAAAGGCTCAGGGCTTAGGTGGTCTTTCTGTCCCCACTCTAGCATGGACTATCAGACCTTCACACAATCTGACAACTGCAGGTCATGATATGCACAGGAAGATGACAAAGATGTGAATTTTTTTTAACAACATAAGTTGATTAATTGTTACAGAAAACAAACTGACTACAGTTGGGGGTAGAAATCTAGAGTTCTGAGGGGTGTGCTTTAAGTTAAAACCTTCACTAGAAGCCCAGGGTTGCAACAAATGCTGTATCAAAGAGCCACAGATGCCCTGGATGAAAACTCATCTTGAATCACTTACTGCAACTCCAACAACTTCAGAATCTGTGCAGCTGATGACCTGCCAGTTATCACTTTAAATTCTGCTTGACAATTTCAAATCTTATTAAAACCAAGTTATTTCCATTCCCTTGAATGTCTCAAAGAGACCAAGCCCTTCTCTGCGGATGACAACTAAGGCCCTGCTACAGTATTCTCAGCTGTCTCTAGGGTTTGAGTTTTAAATGCATTGAGACTTACAGGATTTTTTTTTAAAGGAAGAATTAAATTTAAACTCTGGTTGTTTACTAGCACTAATTAAATAAGCCAGGTTTCTGGACACATTTCCTTTTGCCTGTGGCTACTATATTACTAGCTTTTGAAACAGCCCACAAGCACAGGGAGACAAAACAGAAGTATGATATTACATTTTGTTTCATGCCAGCTCTGTCTTTTGCATGTAAAGAAAAATGGTATTGGCAAGAATCTAGATGCTGACCTCTTAGATCATTATGAGTACTACAATGGAGTGATGTATCAAGGACACAGTTTATCAGGAATGAGGGCTTAAAACAGAATAGAAGTAAGATGTTACTGTTCATGGATAAAAAGGGAAAGAATAATCCAGTTCTGCTCCTTACATCTAAGAGCAAAGTCCACTTTATCACCAACAAAACTGTATGATTTAGGTGGCATTCACACGTCACAACAAACTCTAATTAATCAGAGGTTTGTCAGCATCATACACAAACAGAACTCTTTGGTGTGCTTGCACATTTAATTCACTTCAACTTTCCTCCTCCTCTCACATGCGTATCTTGTTTGAATGCTTTCCAGTTCGATCAAGGTTCAAATTGCCTTAATGTTTGAATGCAGACGCTTCAGTAAATTGGAGTTTGCTTCCCCCTACAACCTGGGATTCTAAACCTCAATTAAACCCCAATTTATAATCCTGGTTTGGGGGGGGGAGAACCACACTCCGATTTGTCAGGGTGCCTGCATTAGGATTTCATGGCACACTGCAACTTGCTTAAACCAGGACATGTTCAATCTAAGTCTGTGATAAAGGGAGGTGAAAGAGTAAGAGGGGAGTACAGGAAATAAACTGTGCTTGTGCACAATCTCAGCACATTAGAGTTTGTCATACAGCCAGTGTACATTCAATCCAGCACATTAGAGTTTGAATACAGCCGGTAAATTCAATCCAGGGACTGCTTGTATGTGTACAGCCTTCAATAAGCAGCGGGAGGTCAGTGTATGCAAGGGCTTTCCCTGTTCACTTTAGAGGTGGGGACAGCCTGAAGTGTTGCTTCCACATGAGATGGGATGCTTCATGGAGGACACAAGGAATTTTGGATTAGATCCAGGATGAAGAATTTTGTCTTCTATTTAGATAATCTGGAGTTATTCACAGTTTACTCCTATTTAATTCACTGGCTGTTCAGCCAAGTCTGGAAATCTACCCATACTGGGAGGGAACTCTGGGAAAAGGAGTCTATGCTTCACGCCTGTAAAATGGAGATGACATGATGGAGAACCTGGCATTTCCATACACCGCCAATCCACATAGCTCTGTTCAAGTCCAATGCAGCTATACATCACACTTCAATCATAATCCCATATGCAGTCTACTAAAAGAATAAAGCAGGAAACACCTCCCTTGTTCTGAGTTACACACCACAAAATAATGAGGTTTTTGTTTATATCTAAGCTTTAAAAGAGCAATTCCAGAAACTGCAAGTTCCTACATGGTAGTATTGATTTAATTAGACTGCATAGCACATTTTGTTTGTGTTAAAGACCTCCAGCACATTTATTAAAATGGAGTCATAAATGTTAACTGCTTGCTAAACTACTAAAAGGTGACCAAGTGTGAGGAAGATATTTCAAGCTCATTTTAAACTTCTTTACAAGCAAATGCTACATGTTTTAAATGCATCCAAACTATATTTAATTTTAAAAAATTACTCAGTCAATCAGATCATACAATCTTGCAACCTTGCCAACAATCAAATACAAATTAAAAGTCATGAAAGGATTTTTCGAAGTACAACCCCTGCAGCACTGCAACTCTGTTTCTGGCAACAAAGCATTCCATGTTAAAACAAATCCAGCAGCAGCAGGATTAAAAGAATACTGCCCCCATGGAGTTCAAACAAGTATGGATCCTCAGAGTTGGAGGCTATATCTAGACTTGAACATATTACAAATAAATATTAATTGAACAACATTCAGGCCTCTTAATTACAGCCTAAATTTTCAGTTTCCCTCTTCTGTTTGATATACAGCAATGAAACTAATCTTGAGTAACTACATAACTGACTGCTAAAAATTACATTCCCATAAAATATAGAGACTCCGTTTAAAAAGCAACAAGGGGGCTGCATTCAGTGAACAGGCAACATCTTTTCAATGTGTGCAAGAGGCCACCTTCCACTATAGCACTAAACATTTCTTTGCTGCTTTTGTTCCTGTGAAGCACCGCTTGTATGTATGCACTTTTCTCTTGAATTTGAGGATTTGGGATGGGGAGAAGCTTAAGACTTTGGAGCTTGTTCTCCCCGCTGAAGGCGGCTGTCGTTAAAATGTCTGTGCTTATTAGACTGAGGTAGCCAATTCTTAGTAAGACAGCTGGTAGGGTATTTCTGGGACTGGAAAATAGTTAAAATTTGTGCAAGTTTAGAGACAAAAAAACTTGCAAAGCACTGAGGGAATGAGGTGGAAATTGGAGATTATGTAGTATGATCAGATTTTTCTTTTAAAAGCCTGGCAATCCTGTAGAAAGGTACATGAAACAATGAGCAGGATGAAGGAGACTGTAAGACAGAGAAACAGAGAACAAGGGTGGTATATTGAGTAGCATGTCAGACTAGGACTGGGTGACCTTGAGCCAGTCACCATATTTTGGGATTTAACCCACCTCACAGGTTTGTTGTGATAACATGAAGAAGGGAAACATAACAGATGCCCCCCTGAGCTCCCTGGAAGAAGGGTGGTGTACATTTGACAGAAAGAAACTATCATGTACCAACCTCTCACCCTGCACCCTACAAGGAGAATGGCATTTCTACTAACCGACACAAAGGGGTCTCATTTCTGCCAAATCCATCTTCCCCTTACACTGCACATCATGCTATTCACATGTTCCCAAAAATTCAGGGGTGGCTTTTGGGCGATTCAGGATCTGCAGCAAGAAGGGGAAGATGGCAAAGATCCCACTCAGTCAGGTGCACTCTTCTCACATTTTTGTGGATCCAACCCATGTTATTTAGTGATGTATTAACTGTACTGTACCAATCTCTCTCTTCTAACCACAGCCTTATTCAGAACTGGATATGGGACTAGGCTGGATTGTCAGACTTACTGTAAATATTTTAATAGGGCAGATCACACATTACTTAGTGAAGACAGACACTCGTGCAAAGCAGAGGCAGACAAGGATGGTCTCAGATTTTGTTTTACTGTGGTGTCATGAAGGCCTAATTTCAAACGTCTAATGTACAAATATCAAGGGAAGAGGTCCAATATTATTATGGTTTACATGTGACAGAATGTCAGTAATGGGATTAGTACAAGCATGATACCACCAATGTTACCTCAATACATAAACAACTATGGGGGTATGTACAACTTCAACAGGAGGTTTGAACTCACTCCCTACCTCCTCCCATGGTGAAGCAAGCAGGCAAATTAGGGACCTCCTTGCCTGATGGCCCAGTCACTGTAACATGCTTGCCTTTTGATTCACTCTGACTCAACAGTATGTCTGGTTTTGCATTTTGAGATACCTTATGATGCCAACCTCTCACTGTAGCCTTATTTGCCTGCTAGACTCATGCTCCTTTGGGCTGGGGGATCTGATGCTCTACAGCAGTAGGAGAGACTCAGCAAAAATCATCCTCCCTTTTCTGTACATGGAAAGTTCCATTGGAGGAGCTGCTGCTGCTGCACTGACAGAACAGCACCATAGGACCCAAGCCCTTGCGTTTAAGGCACCCACTGAAAATACCATCCATTCAAACGACAATGAAACATAAAGCTGGCTAGGCATATATCAAGTGCTACCAATTTTTGGGCAGTACTGTTGTTTTTCACTCAGCATCTTTGAAGTTTTATTGTGAACATTCAGCACATGCAAGAGTAATTCAAGAGGAGATTATACACACATTGTATTAATTATATTAACACTAGCATGGAACATACTTGTATATAATAAACCAGTGAGTAATACATTTGGATGTTTCGGAGGCTTTGACAAACACTGAATTGCTTGAGCCGAGCCTGAAAATTCAGGTTTTTAAACAGGAACTATTATTTTGCCATATGTAGTTAAAAAAAGAAGAAGGAATTGTGCTGTAACCTCTCCTTGGGATTTTTTTTAAGGTAGATCATCTGAGTATTCATCTGATCCTTAGTAGTAGTAGCAGTATTATAATTATTTGTGGTATTCATCTTTTAGCATCAGAAAACTGAAGCAGCCATAGCCACGAGAATATAAAGAAGAAAAAATTGGCACACAAGTTCAGAAAGTATGGAGAAAGATCTGACAAGTTAAGACAGGAGTACCTACACCTCTAAAAGTATGCATCATACTTCCCAATTCCAAATCTAATGCAGAAGACCCTGAACATTTCATAAAGATTAGAACAGACCAGGCATGGCTAAACTGTGGCTCATGAGCCGCATGCAGCTCTTGGAGCCCTCTTCTGCGGCTCGCGAAGCCTTCCTCCCCCCCCCGTGCTCCCCCAGCTTTCAAAGAGCCATAGATGGCTCTTTGAACCTGTTGAGTCCTAAACCCTGCTCTGTCAGGCTGCTGGGAGCTGTGTGTGTTGTCTCATCTTATCATCACCGCCACCCAAAAGGTAAATGGTGGGGGGCAGTCTTCTCTGCCTCGGCGGTGGGTGGTGGGGTTTTTGGAGCGTGCTCAGCTCACTCACAGCCTCCCCAAGCCAGCCAGCCAGCCAGCTTGAGGCGGCCGCACGCTGCTGAGCTGCTTCGGAGTGGGTGGCAGGGTTTGTTTGGCGAGGGGGGGTTGGAGTATGCTCAGCTCGCCCACAGCCTCCCCAAGCCAGCCAGCCAGCCACCTGGCTGGCTTGCTGGCTTGGGGTGGCCATGTGTGGCTGAACTGCTCTGGGTAAGTAGCAGGGCTTGTTTGGTGGTGGGGGGGAGGAGCAAGCGTGGGGGGTAGGAGCAAGCTTAGCTCACCTGCAGCCTGGGGCTCCAGTGAGGCTGGCAGGGAATGTGGGGGGGGGGGCGGAGAGGAAGTGCAGTTTTTACTGCCTGCTGGCAACACCAGCTGTAGTAAGCAGTCTGTAGTAACACATCCCTCAGAGAGATCTAGAAAGCTGCCTCACCTTCCTTGAGTACAGCCAGTGCAGTCAGCCAGTGACTGCTGGAAGCCTGGAGATAATGGCTTCCTAGAACAGCCCACTTCATATGCTACAAATGACACATGCAGTTAAATCACCTTTATATCCTTGAGTTTGGTCTGAAGCAAATTAGAGAAATCTTTTTTTGTGTTTGGCAATCCATGATGGGATTTTGATAGAGTAGAATGAATGCATTTGGGACTCTGTCAAACCTTTTGGTAGTAGAACAGTCTCCCTCTACTCATCCTATCAGATAAGCAAGGGAATGTGTAACTTCCTTGCTATCAAGTCTCATGAGCTTGGTCAGGGACTGCACAGTTCCCTAAAGCCTTAAAAATCAGCCTTTGGGGGTGGGGGGTACTTGCACTGCTTTCTGAGCCCTGATGAGTGCCCATGATTTCAATGAAAAGCAAAGAAATACTTGAGTTTGTGAGTTTGTTTTAATACCCCGCTCTTCACTACCTGAAGTAGTCTCAGAGCACCTTACAATCACCTTCCCTCCCTCTCCCTACAACAGACACCCTGTGAGGCAGTTTGGGCTGAGAGAGCTCTGAGAGAACTGTGACCAACCCAAGGTCACCCATCTGGCTTCATGTGGAGGAGTGGGGAATCAAACAACGTGTGATGTTGTGCAACATGCTTAGATGTTTGTGAAATAGCCCTTCCTTATCAAACCAACTTTCAATTGGATAATTTATTAAACTCATGAAGAGTTGGCTCTTTTTGTAGTAAAAGCTGGAAACATCACAGAACAGTCATGTACCCCAAGGAACAAATTTTATCAATAAGCAGTAAGCCACAAACAGTAATGGCATCAGATAAAATACAGGAAATACTTGAAAGTCTTACTATGAATGGCGTGTGTACAGTAGTGACAATGAAGTTCAACTCCTGTCAAAACTCCCCCAGTTGTTTCATGCACAAGGGGTCAGAATGGAATCTTGCAGAATCCTGCATACTTGTTTGTCTCCATCCTGAGCTGGCTGGTCCAGGCTAGCCTGATCTCATCAGATCTCAGAAGCTAAGCAGGGAGGTCTTGTTAGTACTTGAATGGGAGACCACGAAGGAAGTCCAGGGTTGCTACACAGAGGCAGGCAATGGCAAACCACATATGTTCATCGCTTGTCTTGACCTGGATGGCCCAGGCTAGCCCAATCTTTTCAGATCTTGGAAGCTAACCAGCGTCAGCCCTGGTTAGTACTTAGATGGGAGACCACCGAGGAAGTCCAGGGTCACTACACAGAGGCAGGCAATGGCAAACCACCCCTAGGCAAACCACAAGGGTGGCGCCTAGCAAGGATGTGACATCACTTTGTGATGTCATGTCCTGTGATGTCACTTCCAGGTCAAAGGTCAGGTGATGGCACTTCCTAAGCTTCATCCCTGGTGAGCCCATTCGCGGGGAGGGCGGGGTATAAATGTAATAAAATAAATAAATAAACAAACCCCACCCCTTCCTGTGATGTCACTTTCAGGCCACTCCCCCCACCCGCCTCTTCCTTTGATGTCACCTTGTGGCTCTTGGGCATCTGGCATTTAGTCTATGTGGCTCTTCCATGAAGGAAGTTTGACCACCCCTGGAACAGACAGACCACCAAAGCAACTGGATAAACCAGTGAGAAATGTCTATTTAGAAACAAGGACCATATTAGGAAGTCACTTAAGACTCCAGAACCTAACCTGCATACATGGTTCCTAACCCCATCAGTTCCTCTCTCATATATACAGCTGCTTCCATCAAACAGCATATGAAACACAGGCTAGCACAGAGGGAAACGAAATTTACTACCAAAAGGAAGGTGGGAATAAAACTCATATTAAGTAAAGGGGGAAAATCCCAAAGGAGTAAAGGCATCTCTAGGTCGAAGAAGCTCACAGAACTGCCCTCTGACTCTGCTAACCAAACATTACTTCTTTCAGTTACTTCAAACATTATACAACAGCAGGGAAGAGTGTATGCACTTTCCCCTGGGTAACAGTCAAAACAACAACTTGCACATTTTCCTAAGGATGCAAAGTGTTGCTTGCAAATTTTTGTTTTGGCACTTCTGTGTCCCACTTAAGCTATTCTTGGATGAGACAAAGCTGAATATGTAGAAGGCTATGTAACTGATTGTTATTTAGAGAATTTCTATGCTACCTCATCAGAGTCCTCTTGAAATGGCTTACAATTAAAATAATCAATATAAATATACCATCTATTTCATTTTTTAATATAATTTTATTGATTTTCAAAGTTAAGTAATACAGAATAATTGAGATCAACATTCTGAGCTACAGCAAATGAAAATTATATAGTATCTTACGCTTATTGGTAGGTTGATCCTAAAGTTCAGATAAAGGTAAACACTTCAACTGCAAATCTACAGGTGGCATTGGAGGATAAAGAAATGCAAACAGTGTTATATTAACCATTATGATTGAGAACGGTGTTACTATCGGCTAATAAGATGCAGTCTCCTTGTATTTTATCAGAGTCAAGTTTCTCTAAAAATATAGACCATTTTTCTAATGGATTATAAAGCTCTCTCTCATTACGACTAGAATCAAAATATACTACACATTTCTCTAATAAAGAGTATTCCCATATTATAGCATACCACTGATTGACTGTAGGTCGCTTAGTATTTTTCCAGGAGTGAGCAATTGCTGCTTTAGCCACAGTCAAAACAACGCTGATCGGCTCCCTTCTTATTGCAGGTGGCTTATCCTCCGGCCAGAGACCCAGCAAGATCACCTCGGGATCCAAAGGTAAATCATAGCCTGTTATATCATGTATATGAATTAAGATTGTAATCCAGAATTGTTTGATGCATTCACATTCCCACCAGTTGTGGTAAAAAGTGGCTTTTAGCCTGCATTCCTTTCAGCAGAGAGGTGAAGCTTGAGAGAACATGTGCGAGAGCTTGGCAGGAGTCAAGTACCATCTTAGTAGTACCTTCAGTGCAGCTGTACTGATTATTAAAGACTTAGAGATTTTAGTGTGAGCTGCCCATATTGTCTCCCATTGTTAGTCTGTAATAGCTGAGTGTCTTTATGCCATGCATGTTGATAGGAATATAACTTGCGAGTCCAAGTTTAGAATTTTATAAACTAGTGCTATAAGTCCCTTTACCATTTTGTTGTTGAGTAAGAGACGTTCAAAGGCTAATAGCAGTTTTTTCAAATTTAACATATCTCAGGGTGCCCTATCAGATGCTGGAGCTGGAGGTACTCAAACCAGGGTAAGCTAGCCTTGTATTTCTTTTCTAGTTCAAGTTTGAGTGCTATCCCTCCTTTGTTAGTAATATCAATAAGTCCAGTTAAGTCGACTGTTTTCCATGTTTGAAAAGATAGGGCTTCTTTTGCAGGTAGGAACCAGTTTCGGATGGTAAAAGTGCTTAAAAGGGACCTTACATTACACAACTTATAACGATTACTATACCATGCCGATAATGTAGCTATTAAGAAAGGGTTCCCTTGTTTTTTGCTTACTTTGCTAGGTGTATCAGACCACAGCAGTTCCTTGAAAGATTGGTGTTGAAAGCGAATGTTCGTCAATATATGCCCAGTTGAGTTTACTGCTGTTATGGTATGGTCTAACCAGGTTAGATAGCAGTGTGGCAGAGTAGTAAATAAATAAGTCAGGAATAGCGATACCTCCTCTTCTTGTTGGACAACGTAGGGTCACAAAACTGATTCGGGGGCATTTAAAGTTCCATAAAAATGCACTGAGTGTGTGTTGCCATTTCACTATAGTTGAGCACGGTATTTGAACTGGAAGGGCTCGAAAACAATATAAGAACTTCAGGAGTACAAAGGATTTGATGATTTGGAGTCTCTCTGTCCAGGACAGTGGTCTATAATCCCATTTTTTAAACAAGATTTTTTACTTCCCCATTGATGGCAATATGGTTATACTTTAGCAATTCTGCTAGATCCAAGGGGATCTTGACTCCAAGATAGTGCCAGATTGTTTTGATCCATTGAAAGGCATAGTATTTTTTTATTTGGTTCATCGTTTCTTCATTTAGACTTATGGGATATAATATGGATTTAGATTGACTGACCTGTAACCTTGATACTTTCCCAAACATGGACAGGGCAGCATAAATTTCTTTCAGAGAGTTTAGAGGCCTAGAAATGTAGAGCATGAGGTCGTCAGCAAAAAGGATGAGTTTGAAGTTCTTCTCCTTAACTTTGATGTCACTAATTTTAGGGTTGGTACGCGGGTCACATGCTAGATGCTCCATAGTAATAGCGAACATTAACGGCAAGAGCGGACACCCTTGTCTTGTACCACGATGTAGAGCGATCTCTTGTGATGTTTCTCATTGATTAACAGTTTAGTGGTTGGCGTAGAGTAGATTGCCAAACTTGCCTTCAAAAAGGTGTCACCAAATTGCATATGTCGTGGTGGCCATGAGAAATGAAAACTCTACCATATCGAAGGCCTTTTCAATATCTAATGAGAGCACTAACATATTTTGATCCTTTAGCTTGCGGCCATGTTGTATTAGATTAAGAGTTTTTCTTATGTTGTCTGTGATGTCCCTTAAAGGGACAAATCCAGTTTGATTGGGGTGAATATAACATCCTATGATTTGTTTGAGTCGTTCAGTGAGGGTTAAAACAAAAATTTTGTAATCTGAGTTTAGCAAGGAGATTGGTCTGTAAGAATGAGGATCGGTGGTGTCTTTCCCCTTTTGGGGCAGCAGAATGACATTGGCGATGAGGGCATTGTTCCAGAAGATAAGATTGAGTTGAATAGTTCCTTCATAGGTTGGAGTAGAGTGTCTGTGAATTTCTTGTAGTACTCAGCCACAAAGCCATCAGGCCTGGGGGCTTTATTAGTTTTCATGCTTTGGATAGCTTTTCCAATTTCTTCAGTAATAACTGGAGAATTCAATAGATCCCGGTGTTACTCTGTAATTTAGGGGATCTTAAATTTGGACTTCAGGTAGGTTGCAACATCAAGCTTGGAGGGGCAGGAGGAGGTGTAAAGAGATGAGTAGTATGTTTCCATTACTTGCAGTATGACTTTCGTCGAGGTCCTCAGCTGTCCATCTTTATCCCAAAGGTATTTTTTTTAATTTTATTTTAACTGTTTGAATCAGTACAAAAAGATAAATGTTATCAACGGATAATAACAAAAAATACCTTTAACATGAAACAAAACTTCAACGCTAAAATTCAGTATACATTAACATCATTTCAAAAGGAAAGTATAACATTAGTTTCCATCTGATGCATAATATTAACTTTTTTAACACTATCACATCCAACCATTTTCTTAATGAAAGGTAACCATATTTTACTAAAGTTTGACTTGTGTTTTGAAGAGTTTCCAGATTCTAATTCCATGGTAATTTTATCAAGAACAAAATAATTCCAAACCTTACATCTCCAGGCTTGGAAAGAGGGTAACTCTTTTGCTTTCCATTTTGATGTAAAAAATTGTTTTGCAGCCGTGAACATAATTGCTGCTAATTCCTGGGCATAGGTAAAATACAATCTTCCCATAAATTCAACAAAATCACTGTAGGTGATTTAGTGATTTGAAATTCTAAAAGTGAACTAACTTCAGCTACTATCTGAGCCCAAAACTGAACTGCGAACGGGCACGTCCACCATGCATGAAAAAATGTGCCTCGCTCTCCACAACCCTTCCAGCAACTAGGTGGTATTGCCTTGGATAAATGAGACTGTTGAACTGGCGTTAGGTACCATCTAGAGATTAATTTATATGTTGTTAGCTGGATGTTTAGAGAAGGTGAAAGGTAAGTAGAGGTACTCCAAATCTGAGACCAAGTATCCTCATTCAGTTCTTGCTTAAGATCTAAATGCCAAGCCTTTTGGTACTGGATTAAAGTAGACTTTTTAATGTTGGATATAATGGAGTAAATAGTGATTAGCCCTTTTATAGGGTGTGTTTCGTTAACTAATAACTTCTCAAACTCAGTAAGAGCTATCCTTAGTTTTCTGAATTCTTTAGAATTTAACAGATTCTGTACTTGAATATATTTGTACCAAGGCAGTTTTACATTGTTATATTGTTCTAAAACTATCTTATCTTTAAGGAAGTCTTTGGAAGTAACATCTATGAATCTTGATAAGTTATGACTCTTCCAAGTCAAAAAGGAGGAATTTGAATTAGCTGGTTGACCTGCAATGTTCGTTAAAAGAGAAAATGGTGGATCCAAAAATTTGCTATATTTATTCCAAATTTTGAAGGTAGCTTGTAGGAAGATATGAGAACTGGTTCCCTTGTGTTTGCAAGTCCCAAAGGTTGTTAATGTATCTCTCAGAGCGTTGTTTTTTTAGCTTCCATGCTAAAAGATGTGGGACTTTTGGCCCCTTAGTGGTTCTTGTGTGGTTCCACGTGATCATATCCTTGCGCATATTGTAGAGATCCAAAGATTCCAATTGCTTGCGTAATTGCAATAATCTAATATAAATTCTGGGATTGCATGTTTTTTAATGTTGGTTTTCTAATTGTAAAATGCTTTGGCTTAATTCATATTTCTTCTGGTTCTTTTCTTTATTGTAGGCAGCAAGGATTGAAATGCAGGCTCCACGGATTACAGCTTTGGACGCATCCCACACCGTCTCTATGGGCACTCCGCAGTGTTGGTTGTTAATAAAGTAATTAGCAATTTCGATTATGAGTTTGCTAGTCAATTTTGCTTCGTATAATAAAGTTTTATTGAATCTCCATCTTGGTTTTGTCTTTGGGTTGGTTCCTTCATTGAGTACACACGTCACAGGTGCGTGGTTGGACCATCGCTGGATCCCAATTTCAGTAGAGTCAATTTTGGGGATTAAGTCCTTAGAGATTAGAATATAGTCTAGTCTAGTATAGATGTGGTACTTTGGCAAAAAGTAAGTGTAATCTCTAGTTGTGCCATTGTGAAGTCTCCAGATATCTGATAAATTGTAGTCTGCAATTAATTTTTGTAGAGCTTGTGGAGATGTAGGGTGGCTTTGCTGAGATTTAGTATTAGATTTGTCCATCCACTTGTCCATTAAATAATTGAAGTCGCCTCCCACGATCAGCGGCCCATTTCGGAATTGGTGCAATTTGTTTAAGGTTTCCTTTAGAAACACCAATTGGCCTTGATTTGGCACGTAAATAAACGCTAAAGTGATGTCTGTATTATTCATTTTACCTCGCACAAAGATATATCTGCCACTAACTTCTTTTTCACTTGCCTCGTGCTAAATTTAAGATTCTTAGATAGCAGGATAGCCACCCCTCTGGACTTAGTGAAGCCACCTGCACTATATTGTAGAGGGAACCAGCTAGGCGGTAACACCTTAGTGTATTTCTTGATATGGCTTTCCTGTAAAAAGGCTACATTAATTCTTTGTTTTTTTAAGGTCTGCAGCAGTTTACTTAGCTTTGACTTTGTTATTTAATCCTCTACAGTTTAGGGTTAAATTTTTTACATAATCTAATGCCATAATCTATAACATGGGAGATACGAAATAATCTCAAAGAGGTTAAAACATTGAACCAGTAATACAACAGAATAAATCCATAGAACTAGATGAAGTAGTAGTAACTCTTTAAATATAGAACACATTGATACCTCATTTGCCACCAACATTATACTTAACTTTTTATCAGTACAAAACCAGTGTTTAGAGATTCGTTGCCTTATGCTTTCTTCATGTGTGAATAAAAGTAGAACCCAGATTAAGTGCCATAGCTCACCTGTCTCACCCCTTCCCCACCCCCTCCTTCCCAAACCTCCCTCTAAGCAAAGACTTAGACCTGTGGGGGGTAGTGGGTAAACCATACAAGATTAGAAATGCTTTCCCCTCCCTTCCCTCCCTCCACAATTCTATCAAAAAAGTCCCCTAGAGTGTGGTAAGCAACCACATGGAGCTTTAATGGCCCCTTCTGCAGGACTAGAGAAAAAATGAGAACGAAAATAAAACAGAATGCTCGCCTCTTGCCATTTGGGGGTATCATGATTGAGCCTACCCCCTCCCTTCCCCACCCCTGACGGTTTAATTGGGTATAGTATTAGCAACCACAGGAGCCTTAAGTAAAGTAAGTAACATGAAAGCATCTTAGCAAAAACACTACCAGTAGTATTGAAATTGAATTCACAGAGACATGTTGAGCCTAATTGGTATTTTACTCCAGAGGTGCAGGGTCCCTAGGGATTCCTGCTTTCGTTTGTTCAACAGAGATGAATGAGCTTCTTGTGCGGTTTCTAGCCCCACAGCTCTGAGTAAATCTGTCTCAGTGTCAATGTCATCATCAGCTAGGTAAGGAGCTCCATGATGCTTGACCTGTAGATAATCTGTTTGGAGCCATCTGTAGCGTATTCCAGTGTCTGTCAGTCGCTGCGTGATGGGTTTCAGAACTCTATAAATCTGAAGGGCGTCTGGAGGAATGTCAGGAAATATCAGGATGTCTTCATTGTTCAACTTAAATCTTCCTTTGGTTTGGGCTTCCTTAAGTATATGGTTATTTGAACGCAAGTCAAGGAATTCAGCCATTATGTCACGAGGGCCATTGCGGTGTTCTGCAGTGGGGGGGCCTAGTCTATAAGCTCTAACTATCATTGGGACAACCCCTTCTTTGAGCTGTAAGGCACTAGCAATCCAATTTGAAATAAAAGAGGTTATTTCCATTGATCATTTCTGATTGTTCTGGGAAGCCCCTAAACACTCTCTGGTTTTATGTTCCAGAATGAATATTCTTTCTTTAGCCCAGGACTCATTAGACAATTTTCTAATGTCGTCTTGATTTGTGGTAGCTGCCTCCAGCGCCATTTCTGCAGACGGAGAGACCTTCTGCATTGAGCTTTGCAGTGATTCTAATTGCTCAGTCATTGGCTTGAGCATTTCATTAATGTCTACCAGCATATCGGTCCTAAATGTTCGAAAGAGCTCAGTAAGGTCATGCTTTGTAAGGTTGGCTTGAGAGGGTTGCTGGCTCCCGCCCTTGGCGGCCATTTTAGAATCGATCCGTTGGCTCCTACCTGCCCCACCGGTTGTCTCAGAACCGAAAAAGTCTTTTAAATTGCGTGTTTCAGCATCTCCGATCTTCGTCCATGCTCCGCTAGTCTTGCCCATGCTCTGGGCGCGTTCAGGCTCCTGTCGGCGGGGGGGGGAGAGAGGAAGGGAAGGGATGGAGCTCACTCAGACAGCATCTGCCATGTTAGGTGCTGACACTATGCCCCTATATCATCTATTTCAAGATGGCTTTATTCAGACACCTTGCAGTAAATACCCAATGCATACCAATATTACAACTGATTCACCTGCCAACCGAATCTTTCACCTGCATATTAGGTATCACTATCTCCATCGTTGTTTCATTGTCTTAATAATGATTTTAGATGCATGATGACATTGTGAAAGCACAGAATGGTTACAGGAAACAGGATTATAAGGGAAGCTCTAAGAGCCTTTGCCAGCTCCACCCCACCCAAGTAAGAAGTTTCTATAACTTAACTTTTTAAAAGGAATGTTTTAGATGGCAAGCTACAGCTGATGGCTCTTGGAACTGCTAAGTCTGGATATAAAAATCCCTTTCAAAAATATACTTAAGGTTTTGAGATTCCTCATATGTTTCCTCCAATATCTGGTCATTTAAACACAAGTCTACAAAGTTTCAAGATCATTCCTTCAAATGTTGACAAGGAATGTTCAATTCCTTTTCTTCAGGCCCATACAAATGCAGGCAGTGTGAATTAGCCTCTACTCTGTAATGCAACCAGTGTTGGTTGGAAGATCAAATATGCAAAAACCTATGACTGCTTACAATAACCCCACAGGCATATTATTTCTTTGGCAAAGAAAGAACATATTTTGTAAATTGAGTGGGTTTTCAAAAGCAAGGGAGCAGCTGAATTTCTGATGGAAAGTTTTAGTGGTAGCAAGATGAGACATCTTTCATACAGGTAGAGAAATCAGGGAAGAAAATTAATGGATATTTCCCTGGCCCTCTGTTTCTAGTTTGTACTGAATTCCAAGCACTCATTGCTTGCTAGGTTTTTGTTCTCTGTTACCTCTTTTCTGCAACATGAATCATGCAATTGTAAGAATACTCCAAAAATGTTTCCATTCTCATCCTTTATACAGCAATGCAATTAGTTCAATAACAATAAGGGAGATAAACAAATTTTTCTGCATGGAGAGACAGTAAATAATTATTAAGAGTGTAAAGACCACAGAATAATCTCTACTTAAAACAGATAACAGGGTTTGCCAAATGCATAAATATAAATTCTAGAAGTAAAGGTCTCATTAAGAAAACCTCGGTTGAGGGGTTGAGTGTAAAATAAGACCAAAGCACAGAAATAAAATAATTTTGACACAACTTCAGATCCAGTGGTCTGGGCCATTAGGATAAGAATGGGGTTGAATGTGGGAAGAATCCATTATTCTTTCAATAGCGTCTGGTGCTGCTAAATATGTGCTCACATACTTTCCTTCCTGAAAAGCTTTAAAAATTTTCAATAGCTGCTTGGCCTGGGAAAGAGGTGCTCACTGAAATGCTAAGACACAGACCAAGCACAGAGCAGGACATTACCTGAGAAACAATATTTTTCAAGTGCTCTTAAAAGCAAAGGCTGCAGAAAAAAGTAGTCTGAAGAGGCCCTGTTCTCAAAGGGGTTTTAGCCATTCTATCTGGAAGCTGCTCTTTGGGTGCAATTTTCCAAGTGCAGCCCTAACCAATTCTATTGCAAGAACTGAAAACTAGATTCCTCTGAAAAATATTCAAGCATGCAGAGAGACATTTCCTACATAAATAGCATTAATAATAATGCAAACAGAAATTGGCATTTTTCACCACCAAGGTTCCAGGTGAAATTTATAGCAACCCTGGCCTGATTTGTGTTATTACTGTTCTACCTGGCTAAGACTCAAATTTTCAAGTGGGGAGTTTACAGATTTTTAACAATGTTCAGTTTAATTGGCCATAGCAAGAAGCAGCTTACCTAACAAGCATGGTGTCATGTTTAACAAGTATAGTGGAAGCTATACAAAGCATCCAAAAAGATGGTCCTTTTGCTACTGTTATATTAATAATTTGTATAGAAATTCTACTCCACTTTTTCATTATGAAAGCAGTTGTACAATGTCTCTGTTGTTCATCATTACAACCACCTTGTGAGAAAGGACATTAATATTCATATTGTTCACAGGGGGAGCTGAGGAAGAAAGTTTGGAAACTGAAAGCTCCTTCATGTGCCCAGTAGCTTTTCCTTATGTGCATCTGTAATGCACATAATGGTATACACATCTCACATATTATATGAATGAGTAAGGCACTTCACAAGAAGATAGGCTCCTGCCTTGAGAGGCTTACAATCTAAAATTCAAGACAAGGAGGATAACAAAGGGAGAGGAGGAAGGCAGAGGAACAGATAAACATGAGAAAAAAATGCAGTCTTACACAGTCTTGGGCTGTGATCACACACACTAAATAATCCACTCAATCCACTTTCAGTGCACTTTTGAATTGGATTTTGCCAGTTCACACAGTAAAAATCCAGTTGGAAAGTGGATTGAAAATGGATTTATTTAGTGTGTGTGATCACAACCTTGGTTTGTTTTCAGTAGGAGAGGCAGAGGCTATGGCAAGAGCAAAGACACGGAGG